TCCTGTAATTTTTCTCACAATCAACACCTATTTTCTCCATAAAAATATTGTCATTAATACTGACAATAAGAAAAAAATCTTTCTTTTTATGTGGAAAGGAAAAAACCGAACTGGAAAATGATTTCAAAAAAATTTTTTCGAACCCTGGAACTGCAGTGAATGCTTGAAATCCACTCTTTGAGGCAAATAATCGATGCAAACACTGCAATTGTGCTTCACACTTTGCCGTTGAGAACAAGTCACCTTCCGGCGGATACGTTTCGTTCAGAACCGATTCCAAGCAGCCAACGATCAGTTTTCCTTTATTCTCCGTAAAAAAACCCTCCAAAATAATTTTCATAACACTTAATAAAAAAAGTTTTTTAAAGACACAATGAAAATCGAAACTCTTTCAGAAGGAAACGAACAAACTCTTTGTTTTTCTTCAAAAACGCCATTTTCATCTCTTTCTAAGGAACTATATTTTTCAACGTTTCAGTAATATTTTCAAAAAATCGAGAATCGCTCGTCTAACCTCTTGGGCCACTGAATAGGTTAGTCCATTATAAGGGATGTTCGCATTGAAACGTCTGATGAGATCGTATCGTTTCAGACCGGCTGCAACAACTCAATTTTATTCGATGCTGAATCAAAACCCTCGAATAAATCATCAAAAGATCAATTAATAATAATGAAAATAATAGTAACAATAACAATAACAATAATAACACACGAGGTGGCGCGATGACATGTTTCATGCACTGTGCTTCACTGTCCTCATCCAGTAGAAAGCCATACGGTAATATTCGAAAGGCTCGATCCAATTTATGCCCCACAACGAACACCTCGTGATTGCCCGAAGCTCGGGTACCATCCACCAATGATGCCAATATCATATCTCTGCAAAATCACCAACTCTATAGACAATCATCTCAACACATGTTTAATCGATGCTTCTGCTTCTCCTTTTGCCTCTCGTTCCCCTTTCTTCCGTGCACTCAGCACCATCTCACTTTTCACCTTTAACTTCCGAAGTCTCAAAAAGAAACCGAATGAAAGAATTTTCAAAATTTTCTCCCACTC